AAGCCTTTCAATACTGCAATAAAACAATGTGCAGAGAGAGAAAAGCCTTTCAATACTGCAACAAAACAATGTGCAGAGAGAGAGAGATAGAAAAGCCATTCAATACTGCAATAAAACAATGTGCAGAGAGAGAGAAAAGCCTTTCAATACTGCAATAAAACAATGTGCAGAGAGAGAGAAAAGCCTTTCAATACTGCAATGAAACAATGTGCAGAGAGAGAAAAGCCTTTCAATACTGCAATGAAACAATGTGCAGAGAGAGAAAAGCCTTTCAATACTGCAATAAAACAATGTGCAGAGAGAAAAGCCTTTCAATACTGCAATAAAACAATGTGCAGAGAGAGAAAAGCCTTTCAATACTGCAATGAAACAATGTGCAGAGAGAGAAAAGCCTTTCAATACTGCAATAAAACAATGTGCAGAGAGAAAAGCCTTTCAATACTGCAATAAAACAATGTGCAGAGAGAGAAAAGCCTTTCAATACTCCAATAAAACAATGTGCAGAGAGAAAACCTTTCAATACTGCAATAAAACAATGTGCAGAGAGAGAAAAGCCTTTCAATACTGCAATAAAACAATGTGCAGAGAGAGAAAAGCCTTTCAATACTGCAATAAAACAATGTGCAGAGAGAAAACCTTTCAATACTGCAATAAAACAATGTGCAGAGAGAGAAAAGCCTTTCAATACTGCAATAAAACAATGTGCAGAGAGAGAAAAGCCTTTCAATACTCCAATAAAACAATGTGCAGAGAGAAAACCTTTCAATACTGCAATAAAACAATGTGCAGAGAGAGAAAAGCCTTTCAATACTGCAATAAAACAATGTGCAGAGAGAGAAAAGCCTTTCAATACTGCAATAAAACAATGTGCAGAGAGAAAAACCTTTCAATACTGCAATAAAACAATGTGCAGAGAGAGAAAAGCCTTTCAATACTGCAATAAAACAATGTGCAGAGAGAAAAACCTTTCAATACTGCAATAAAACAATTTGCGGAGAGAGAAAGACAGATTATGATCAATCATCATTCATTTGGAGAGAATGGTTTGTGAAAGCTGATTCAAGAACAACGAAGAGCTGTTATTCTGTGATAGCATGGTCAGAAAGAGATAAATACCTGAAGAAAGCCGGTTTTCATGGCAATTCTAAGAGGGAAAAGAGGTAGACCCTGAGAATAAGATGAACATGTAAAATAAACCAATCACCTGACTAACCTTTAAAGAGATAAGAATGGTGGCTGGAGCCATCAGCGAAGCCACGAATTTCCTGTAATGAAAAAACGAATGAACTATAAATAAAGAAAATAAGAAAACTTATAATAGAATTCTACAAATGTCTGTAGGTCTGATTGGCTAGAATGATAATCTTTCAATTTTCTTGGTCCTACACAATCCTGTAGATATCTGTGGATGTTGATATGTGAAGTTTAGTTGATGTATTGCCGATATTGTGGACTGCTGGTCTTATTCTTTATGCCGTTGGTAAATTCACTCATTGGACAAATTGGAACAAAAGCTTTGGCCTATGGCCCTCATCAGTATAAGAGCGGCTGCGATTTTGTTGTTGTTGTTGTTGTTTTAATCCTACGGAATGAATACTGATATCATTCGAATTCTGCCATAAAACAATTATCCGAATATTTGTTTCTGTAAAGAGAGAGAGAATATATATTTTTAAATGCATTGATTTTTGATACACTTATCAAAAAGGAGAGGTGCCCTTTTTACATAATACCTCACTCCTATACTCTTAGATGAGTTTTTTTTATTTTATGTGTATACGCGCGAAGTGAAAAAAGAAAAGTTACCTATATATTTACGATAATATTTGATCACAAAAATCATAATCTTTTCAAGATTATATTGATATTAATTTTATACCGTCTACACATCTGCATTGCAATATAAAGAAGGGGAACAAACAGAATGATAATTTGTTGGTATTTTAAAACAATAACGATATGTTCCATGTAATTTCAAGTCTGCAATGTTTATAATACAGTACAACCTCGCTAAAACGAACCTGTGATATATAGTGAATCTTACGTTATAACGAACCTGTAATAATCCCCACACACGCAATTTTTATTTTATAATACTGTAAACTATGGCTATATAATAAACCATGGCTATAGTGAACCAAAGGTTTAGTCCCATTGGGGTTCTCTATAGTGGGTTTTTACTATGTAAAGGTTGGCTATACATTCAATATATCTCTAATATACTATTTGCATATAAGGAATTCTATTTTGTTTATTGGTACCTATACTAGACACTTCCTATCAGAACTGACATACACATCTTAATTCAACATATTCTCACTGACAAGAAGAATGGTAAATGGTGTTTCACCTTCTTTCCAAACGTCCAGTTTTTCTGTTGTGCAGGAGGCATCGTCGGTTTCTTGATGTACAAGACTTCAGCCTTCTACATTCCTGGCCATACCCCCAGACCGAGACTGGAACTACCTGGTCAACTGTTTCACACCGCAGCAAGCTTCATGACTGGAACTTACTCCTGGGGCACTACAGCCCTGGTAGTTAGCACTTCAACAGGAACCCAGGGGTAAATCTATTTCTTTTTCTCAACACTTGCTTTAATTCGACAGTTCTTTATATCCTAATCAGCATATTCACTTTAAATAAATTGCTTATAATTTAAATCCCTCCTCTCCTTAAGTGTTTACAACAAAATGTATAGAAAAATGTCCACTAGTTATGAACGTTGTGATGAAGACAATCCTTTAAACTCACGGACAAAACTTAAAGACGTTATAGTCTTTAATGTCACCGTTTTGTCTTTTTTTTTTTTTTAAGGAGACAAAAGCAATTTTGTTCACATTTGGTTATCTCCTGTGTCTTCAATAAAGGTCACTGTGTATCAAATATATTTCAGAGTTATTGTCTGAATCCCGATATATATGCTAAAAAAGTATAACTTCCTGAAGTTTTGTCCATATGAATGTACTTCTCACTCTCTCTCTCTTTGATATTATTAATCATTCTATACACTTAATCATTTATCCAATTTGTTTTTAACCCTATAACTCTATAAAAGGTAATATGCAATAAATGTATCGATTGTCTTGTATGTACACAACCACCGGGTTTATCATTTGCATATTGTCCGAGAAACTTGGAAACTAGAAAATATCATTATGTAAATATGTAAACACAAATAATCGTCTTAATTTACCAACAGAATCTATATGGAACTAAAACGAACCTCTCAACATTGAAAAAATAAGAAAACAAGTTTTTTTTTATCATAAAATATCTACATGCTAAGGTCCGAATTGTGAAGTTTATTCGAGACTAGTAGAAATATTCCAAATACACTATATTACATATGGAAGATGGAAGCTTCTGAAAATTCTTTTTCAAATGGCGCATTTTGGAATTTCGAATCAAAAAGTTATTGAATATTATTCATAGCTTGCTTTGTCCGATTATTCGATGTCTTTCAAGACACATTTGTTTCTTTTATTTGAAAAACATATATACTACAAACCTACATACAGTAACGTATGTGCAAATAAGTAAAGGTAAAGAAAGAAAATAGAAGAGGGAAGAAGGTCAGTAAGTAACTTGAGGTAAAAAGATATACCCTAACAGCTTAAATGAGTCTTTTTTGTTTATATAGCAAAGCACCATCTATCGGAATAACTCTAATATAAACGTTGATTTAAGTTTAACCCAGGATATATGGGGCTAAACCATATCTTATTTATCTTTAATAAAAAAAAAAAGAATATACTCACGTAATTAAATAAACTTGAGACTTATTGAATTATTTCATATTTTTGTATTTATGAAGCTTTCGAAATCACCTCTTTCTCAAAATAATTCTAAAGAATAGCTAAAACGTATACGTTACATATTGACTTTCAAAAGGGAAATCATTTAGTTACACCCCAGCTTTCTAATGTCCGTTTATTGTAAGCATGTTTTCTGTGTCTCTTTCTATTATGCAACTACAATACGCATACCATTTTTTATTCATGAGCCAAGCCCTCCCAATATATTTTTCATCGTAGTAAGGGCAGTAGAAGTTTGTATTATGTATAAAAGAAACATTCGTGCTTTTAAATCCTTTCATTTTATATGTATAGATGGCGCGCTATTGCTTGGCTTCACCCGTGGTCTCTGCTTTTTGGAATTTTTCCGGATATAATTTTGTATCTGATAATCAAATATGATACAGCAATATTGTCATAATCATTTTCTGACTAAAAAAAAAACAACTATTTTTGCCCAGAACCTGTCAATTTCAATTTTTCTTGGCTAAAACTAATTTACTAGCCGAATGACCCGGGCAACGCACGGGTTTTACCCGATTAAATGCTTTTATTCAAATACTATTCGTTACAATTATAAATTGGCGCCGTGGATGTCATTCTTGTGAAACGTCCCGCTCCAAACTTTGCGTCTGGAAAGCGATATTTTTATAAAGAGATGATCTGGCTTTGTGTCTTCTGCTCGAATGAATATTTTTCTGTTAGAATTTTGTTCCTGCATACTAAAAATGAACTGGCTTCACCCGTGGTCTCTGCTTTTTGGAATTTTTCCGGATATAATTTTGTATCTGATAATCAAATATGATACAGCAATATTGTCATAATCATTTTCTGACTAAAAAAAAACCAACTATTTTTGCCCAGAACCTGTCAATTTCAATTTTTCTTGGCTAAAAATGCGACAAATATCTCTTTCATATTTTTTTTTCTATGTCCTGTTAAAACACGTTTTACATGTACATTAGGTCAGCTGATATTACCTCCCATCTTCACCGCTAGAGGCGCTGCTTGCGAGCGAAAGAGCAAATTTGCAACTCAAATTTGCAAATAACTCGAAGAATATTCGGGATAGAGACCTGAAATATTCAATATAAGTTTTTCCAGATTCTACTATACATACTGCTAAAATTTCAGTTATATTAGCTACGTATTTTACGTATATTACGTAAAAGCATTCCATTCACAAAAGCAAACGATGACAGAATTGATGCCTCTGATACTTGTATATTTTAATAATAATAATAATATAAATGAGTTTTAAAATTTGTAAAAAAAATAAAATGCATCGGCCGGGAATCGAACCCGGGCCGCCCGCGTGGCAGGCGAGCATTCTACCACTGAACCTCCGATGCTTTTAAGAAATGGCCCTATTTGGGTATTTATTCCATTCACAAAAGCAAACGGTGACAGAATTGATTGATTGTTGATGACTCTGATACTTGTATATTTTAATGCCTAACTGGCCTTGTCTTTATTGTTTGCGGAAGAGCATTGCTCGATGCAAATATTTGAATGTAATTTTCCTGTCCTATAAGCTTATGTCCATAGTTCTCTTGAAAACCATTTCTGAGATTCCATCCTTCAGTGCTGCGTATATAAGCAGAATCGTCCAATACAGTATATGAGTTCTGAGAAGCGGTCTGGTGGATTAAATTGGCGAAACCGCTGGGAGGGTTCACCACTGATGAGCCAAGCCCTCCCAATATATTTTTCATCGCAGTAAGGGCAGTAGAAGTTTGTATTATGTATAAAAGAAACATTCGTGCTTTTAAATCCTTTCATTTTATATGTATAGATGGCGCGCTATTGCTTTGTGTTAATATACATATTTAAATACTCTTATATGCTTCCAGTTATATATGCAGCATGCAACAATACATATCCAATATTCCGTAACATGCTAGCACACAGCTACAATACATATAACTTCACAACTTAGCTACATACGAGTATATACAGCATGCAACAACACAACAATATACATACGATCGATTTAATAATGTACAATTTGGATATTAGATTAGAAACACATAAAATATAACAAGACTAAATTAATAAATTATACGTGGTACCAACGCTTTTACCACGAACAATCTATTGATTTAGTCTTGTTACCTTTTTTTATGTTTCCTATTCAATATTTTGTAACAAGCTAGCATGCATCTACAATATGCATACTTCCCAACAATCTACTATATATTTACATATATACATGCATTTATATATATACAACAATAAGTTGAGACAATATGATAACCATATATATCAAAGAGTCATCACTTCCTTTAAATTTGCATAATTTTAATGCATATATAAAGGAAGACATTCCTCTTTACATACATATATGTACAAGAAATGAAGGAATTTAAGCACGAATGCTTCTTTTATAGATAAAACAAACCTCTATTATCCTTATTGGAATGAAAATGTATTGAGAAGGCTTGGCAGTGGGTAGTGTAACATATATAAGCAGAATCGTACAATATAGTATTAGAACTCTAAAGAAGCGGTCTGGTAGATTATATTGGGGAGACCGCTGGGTGGTTTCACCACTGATGACCCAAACCCTCCCAATATATTTTTCATCGCAGTAAGGATAGTAGAGGTTTGTTTTATGTTTAAAAGAAACTTTCGTGCTTCAATGATTTCATTTCTTGTATATAGATAGGGTTTTATTGGCTTATAATTAACACATATATATACAGCATGCAACAAATACGTTTCCAACATTCTGCAACCAGCCAAAGAATGCGCCGAACATGCATGGATGCCGAGCAAAGGCTTCCCGGTCTGACGTTGGCAGTCCATTCCCAGGCCCCGAGACGCCAACCTGTGTGTTGATTGTACCACAGATTAAGGTCTCAGGGAGCGGGGAGGACAGGTATAGTCTTGGAGGGAAGAGGTGTGTCCTGAACGGCCGCTGTAACCACACAGACCGCATCGTTAGTAGCAGTCTCTAGATAGCGTCTTAATGGACAAAACTTAAGGAAGTAGAGAGTCTAGCCGATAGTCTATTTTTTGAAAGAGACAAAGGAAATTTTGTTCACACTTGGTTATCTCGTGTGTCTTCAATAAAGGTCACTGTAATATCTTTCAGATTTATTATCTGAATCCCGATATACATGCTAAAAGGTACAAATTTCCTTAAGTTTTGTCCATGAGTGTATATTTTAACTTCTACTAAAACTCCTTACTTTCAAATTAATTACTAAAAATAATCTTTATTCTTCTCGTACTAAAATAGTACAACGCGACAATAGAAATACTTCGAAAAAAAATCTTCTTATTAATAATATCCTTAGTACACGTGGTACAGGCCATGGTAATCCTGGTGGATAGAAGTTATCGATTGCTTTTACTACAAGTGCAGCCACTTACCTACACATGGAGAAAGCGCAGTTCGAGTTTTGCACTTAAAAGTGTGTCATAGTTTGGTTACTTGCACTAACTTGTTGGGTTTGACTTTTGCATGAAGCGCTGGCCATTGAAGAAATTTTTTATTCAGAAAAAGAAGTGTGCAATACGGAATTCGATCCCGGGTTGTGACTGTCGGATATCGTTGGTAAATATCCCTCGTCCCCCGACCCTCACTTTTAAAGAGTAAACTAGGAAAAAGATTCGAACTAGAGCCCATTATAAGTCTCTGAATGTTCTTGGATAATGATTCTTATAAAACCCGACAGTGTGTATCTTAGAGTGTTGTGCAGCCTTCTATCTTTGTTCATGGAACCTGGAAGGGACCAAAGTTGCCAATTATTCGTGCAATCGTTTTGTAACCCTCGGAAGTTGATAGGGCCATCATGGCGGCTATATCGTATTGCTGAGAGATAGGAGGAACAACAGCATTATTCTTATAAACCCCGACAGTGTGTAGCTTAGAGTACTGGGCAGGTATAGTGCAGCCTTCTATCTTTGTTCATGGAACCTGGAACGGACCAAAGTTGCCGATTATTCGTGCAATCGTTTTGTAACCCTCGGAAGTTGATAGGGCCATCATGGCGGCTATATCGTATTGCTGAGAGATAGGAGGAACAACACCATATTCTTATAAACCCCGACAGTTTGTAACTTATAGTGCTGTGGAGGTATAGTGCAGCCTTCTATCTTTGTTCATGGAACCTGGAACGGACCAAAGTTGCCGATTATTCGTGCAATCGTTTTGTAACCCTCGGAAGTTGATAGGGCCATCATGGCGGCTATATCGTATTGCTGAGAGATAGGAGGAACAACACCATATTCTTATAAACCCCGACAGTTTGTAACTTAGAGTACTGTGAAGGTATAGTGCAGCCTTCTATCTTTGTTCATGGAACCTGGAAGGGACCAAAGTTGCCGATTATTCGTGCAATCGTTTTGTAACCCTCGGAAGTTGGTAGGGCCATCATGGCGGCTATATCGTATTGCTGAGAGATAGGATGAACAACAGCATTATTCTTATAAACCCCGACAGTTTGTAACTTAGAGTACTGTGAAGGTATAGTGCAGCCTTCTATCTTTGTTCATGGAACCTGGAAGGGACCAAAGTTGCCGATTATTCGTGCAATCGTTTTGTAACCCTCGGAAGTTGATAGGGCCATCATGGCGGCTATATCGTATTGCTGAGAGATAGGAGGAACAACAGCATTATTCTTATAAACCCCGACAGTTTGTAACCTAGAGTGCTGTGGAGGTATAGTGCAGCCTTCTATCTTTCCTCATGGAACCTGGAACGGACCAAAGTTGCCGATTATTCGTGCAATCGTTTTGTAACCCGCAGAAGTTGATAGGGGCATCATGGCGGCTATATCGTATTGCTGAGAGATAGGAGGAACAACAGCATTAAGGTGGCTATATTTTTCTCATTTCGAATGTCGAAGACAAATCTTAGAGTAACATGCGACCAGAAGGACCACTGATGTTTTACTGATGACTTCCAGTGGAGAGATGCCAGCTGGTAGTAAATACTATCGCTATGTAATTATTCTTTTCTTTTACACCTTTTATATTGTTGTTTTTGTGTAATTGTGCTGACATACATGCAGAAATACATTTATTCAAATTGCCAATTGTCCCCTAAACTCGAAATATATTAATATCATCGAAGACACCTTTCTCAAATAAATCCCAATGTAAATTAGCGTCAGCAAACTTTACAATGGGAGAAGGTGGATTCACGATTGTCTAACTCTTTTATTTTTAATTACTAAGGACCTGTAACTTGATCGAATGTGCCCTTAGTTCTTAAAAAGGTCTCATTCCCTGACAAACGAATATAAATTAGTCACATATGGTCTTAACATCTCGAAAATGTGAATATCAATTTCTTAACGCATGTTTGAATATACGGTGTGTTTACCTGTAATATTTATATTGTATTTGAAATAAAATGATTGAATCGTTTTACATTATAGTGAACATCACTTTACAAAAAGGTATTTAATCCTCAACAAACAGGTACTAATTAATTACACCTATCATTGTTTTAAATAATTTCCATAAAATGTCCATATCTCTCTCACTTCACTCTCTCTCTCTCTCTCATGTATTTTATCATTATATAATCTTATTTATTCATATTTATATTTATTATGTATTTAACCTTATAATGGACATTGAAATAAAGTAGTTTCAATCTCAATATCTCACTGCACATTAATTTCTATATAATTGATAAGCCATCTTATCGTTATGTTCATAAATTCTTCAATTCTTCATTTTAGAAATACAGTAAAGCCTCGCTATAGCGAACCTTAATGAGACTAGACTTTTGGTTTACTATAACCATGGTTTCACTGTAGGCATAGTTCATTATAGCCATGGTTCATTATATATGAATCACTGTAGCTATGGTTATTATAGCCATAGTTCATTATAGCTATGATTCACTGTAACCATGTTTCATTATAGCCTTGATTCATTATAGCCATAGTTCATTATATCTATGGTTCACTGTAACCATGGCTCATTATAACCTTGATTCATTATAGCCATAGTTCATTATAGCTATGATTCACTGTAACCATGGCTCATTATAGCCTTGATTCATTATAGCCATAGTTCATTATATCTATGGTTCACTGTAACCATGGTTCATTATAGCCTTGATTCATTATAGCCATAGTTCATTATATCTATGGTTTACTGTAACCATGGTTCATTATAGCCTTGATTCATTATAGCCATAGTTCATTATATCTATGGTTCACTGTAACCATGGTTCATTATAGCCTTGATTCATTATAGCCATGGTTCATTATATCTATGGTTTACTGTAACCATGGTTCATTATAGCCTTGATTCATTATAGCCATAGTTCATTATATCTATGGTTCACTGTAACCATGGTTCATTATAGCCATGGTTCATTATATCTATGGTTCACTGTAACCATGGTTCATTATAGCCTTGATTCATTATAGCCATAGTTCATTATATCTATGGTTCACTGTAACCATGGCTCATTATAGCCTTGATTCATTATAGCCATAGTTCATTATATCTATGGTTCACTGTAACCATGGTTCATTATAGCCTTGATTCATTATAGCCATGGTTCATTATATCTATGGTTCACTGTAACCATGGTTCATTATAGCCTTGATTCATTATAGCCATAGTTCATTATATCTATGGTTCACTGTAACCATGGTTCATTATAGCCTTGATTCATTATATCCATGGTTCATTATATCTATGGTTTACTGTAACCATGGTTCATTATAGCCTTGATTTTTTATAGCCATGGTTCATTATATCTATGGTTTACTGTAACCATGGTTCATTATAGCCTTGATTCATTATAGCCATAGTTCATTATATCTAAGGTACACTATACCCATGATTCATTGCAACTATGATTATCTCACTCTATATGGTATTACTAATATTGAAGATTATTTTAGGTTCGCTATAAGAGGTAAAGTTCGCCATATCCCCGGTATCAGCGAGGTTGTACTGTAGGTGTTATTTGTGGGGGAAACGAAAACCGAAACCTTCCCACCATGTTATCATCCATTACCAGATAATGTGTTCTCCCAAACGTTGTCCGAACCTGACAATGGGTGTTGTGTTGAAATGTTGAGAAAAAGTGGAGTTGATAAGATAGTGTGAGCCTCTCGCTATCGGTATGTGTACACAGGTCAAGTTCACACTTCCTAAATCTCTTCCCAAACATCCAGAATAAGTTCAATAGGCCTTTATTTTTACCTAATTACATATCTCCCTCCCTCTCTCTCTCTGTGGCGAAGGCTACCATCTACAAGTACCATCTTGGTCTTGAGTTGGGTAATGCTAGCCAACACATCGACCTGCCCACTCTGTGGGAAAGAACTCTCGCAGTCCATCGGTGGCGGAGTCTTTTTCGCGGTGGGCGTTACCAATGAAGACCTTGAATATATATTTATATATATGTATATTTATCATTTATTTTATCTATTTATATCTATTTTTCCTATATTTATCATTATATAATCATATTTATGTATATAACCTTATATAATCTTATATGGACTTTGAAATAAAGTAGTTTCAATCTCAATCTCTCTCTCAGCCGCCAATTGTGGTTTCTGATGAAACTTAGCTGCGGAAGGATGGATCCGAAAACCAGGCTTCAGGTCGTGTGAGCAATGTCTCTCAGCGACAGGCAACATTAACAAGATTTAGAACAGGCTATCTCAAGCAATTATTTCTCTCTCTCTAACTAATAAACACACACTCTCTCGAACTAATAAACAAAGATTTGTAAAATGTTTCTGTTTCGATATCATGGACCCGGAACTTTACATACCCAAGATAGAGAACGACTGCTATGATAGAGATGTAGGGAGACCCATCTGTTCATTGGACACGACAACAACAACCTCAGAGCTAAGGAAGAAGTTGTAAATAGATGGATGTCTTTGTTCATGCAAGAATGGATCATTAGATTAGCCCCGGTTTGTGAAATCTTTTTACTATTTTTGGTAAATTTTACCTCTCTCTGCGTTAAAATATTAATAACTGGCCAATTAACCATTTTACGAACGGATTTAGAATTACAGAAGCCACTCTTAAATCTTTTAAAAAGTTTTTCCTTAATTACTCATTAATATTAGCAATATTTGAAAATAAAAAAGGATTCGTCCAATATGGGTTAAATTTGGTGTATAAATTGCTAGGTATAGTTTAATATCTTTGTATTCTCTCTTTTATCAAGGTGGAAAGCCTTAAACGAATTGAAAAATAAACTTCACTTGAAGCTGTCCACCTTGAAAAAGGCGACAGTGGGAATAATAAACTTTTTTGAAGGTTGTTGATTTCTAAACATCTTGAATTAATCCAAATTCAACCTTATACATTTTTTTTCATTATTTTTTTTCTAATTACTGAGGAAACGAACAAAACAACAAACAAATCAGAATTTTGAATTAAATATTTACAGATTTACATGTATTATTCGACATAGAACCTACAACAATGATATTCTCTATTTACAGTGAAATACTGCTTAACGAATGGGTATATAGCGAACCTTTCTAATTACTAATCTAAAAACAATACAACAAGGGAAAACATTATAGTTAAACCCATGGCTATAGAGCTAACCAAGATTTTTGGGCCCCAATAGCCGCATAAAGCGAAATATATACAAAGCACTATGACCAAGCTGAGGAAGCTAGGGACAGGATCTCCGTCAGAGAAGAGGCAGGTGTAACGGAGTATGCCTTCTCAAGAATTCTATCTCGTTAGCGTTCGCTATAGCAAGGTTTTACTGAATTCTAAGAAATCTAGGCGTGATCGAATAAGAAACCAAATTCCTCCACAAAGAGGAGATAAGGTGGAGGAGTGTGTTACAGGATGTTTCATAAGAGATTACATTGCCCAACACAAGCTACTATTGAAGTATTTCTTTGGAAACCAAACTTTTGAAAATGTTACTGTATCATTTTCTTTTTTTGAAAAGAGAGAAGGCATACTCCTTTACACCTGCCTCTTCCATGATGGAGATCCTGTCCCTAGCTTCCCCAGCTAGGTCATAGTGCTTTGTATATATTTCGCTTTATGCGGCCATTGGGGCTCAAAAATCATCCATTTTGGTTAGCAGCCCCGTAAATAAAGATATTCTCGGCATACTACGTTAAATAATAAACAAAAACTGATTCGGAAGATTAGTTTTTTGTCTTTATTTTATACTAGCCGAATGACCCGGGCAACGCCCGTGTTTTACCCGACTGTAGATGTTACAACGGTGATCCTTAGGTCGCTGGTTCAAATCCGGCTCGAGGGAGTTTTATTTATTTTTTTTTTTATTGGATGCCGGCGCGCATCCGTGACAGAGGCCGATGAGGAAAGACGGTCGTGACTATATATAGGGATTCTTGTCAATATTTCGGGTATCATAAATCCTTCTCCACAGGAGTATATGATAAATCTTGGGATTTAAATAATATCTATATAGGACTCAAGATAAAATTGTGGAAAGGGTTTCGAAACTCTTACCAATATTTTCTTACAACGAATTTCTCTATTATAGAATTCAAGCTTTCAAGCGATTATCGCTCTTCAATGGACCTAATTAAAACAATTGACTATTTCTTATTTACTTGTATATAACACACAAGATGTCCAGAGTAGCCTAGTGGACATAGCATCTGCCCGGTAAGCGGAACACTGTGAGTTCGATTCCTATCCCTGGACACTTTTATTATTCCGATTATCATTACTCTTCACAATTCATCCTTTCATACCTCATCCCTAAGGTTAGAAATTATTGTTATTTCTCCTTAAAATAAATTTCGATTTTTCGTTCAAAAGAAACCTTCGCGGTATAACTTGTCAAACTTCGTTCTACAAAACACAAGATGTCAAGGGATAACTGGTATAGGTAAAAACTTGCTATAGTTTAAATATAAAAATTGATTTTGTGGAGGAGGAGTCGAGAAAAGATCTTCTTGAGAAAACTTCATTAAGCTATTCCCAACCATTAGTATATATATATCACGTGATTAATTTCACGACTGAAGAACCAAGGAGGATTATGGAGATATCTCTAGGGAGGCCACCGCTGGAATTAAAGCCCCTGCTACCGTATGTAAGGAGAAAGATGGGGGGAATGAGGTAAAGACAAAGAACAAGAAGATTCCATTAAAGTGACAGTAATAATGGAAAGTGGAAATTAAGACGGATTTCTTAAAAGATTGTGCATGGAGGCGACTTAATGATGATACACAATCCGTGGTAAGTGATGTAAGAAAGCGAGGCTTAACGCGGATGGTTCATTAGAACCAATCTAAATGAGGAAGGAGAATAGAGTGTTGATAAGCCTTGCATGCTGGAATGGCTGCTTCGGCCATTGTGCACGACTTAGCTCGCGCCTTTCTCGATTAATTGGAAAGTTATCAAGAAAATATCTTGTGAAGCCTCTCCATTTTATACATATCCCCGGTGTTGTTTGCCAAAGAGAAATTCTCTTCAAAATCAAGTATAGTCGAATTTGTTACATTCTATCTTTAAATCTCTTTTCTTACTTGATTTTGCAAAATTATTAATATCAAGAAAATATCTTGAAGCATTCATTCTACACATCTTCCCAATGTTGTTAAAAATCAAGTATAGTCCCATTTGTTACATTATATCTTCATATCTCTTTTCTTACTTGATTTTTCAAAGTTATTAAGAAAAGATCTGGAAGTCTCTATTCTATATATTTTCTCCAGTGTTGTTTGACATAGAGAAATCTCCGTCAAAATCAAGTATAGTCGAATTTGTTACATTCTGTTCTCAGATATCTTTTCTTACTTGATTTTGCAAAATTATCATGAAAATATCTGGAAGCATCCATTTTACATATCTTCCCAGTGTTGTTAAAAATCAAGTATAGTCCCCATTGTTACATTCTATCTTCATATCTCTTTTCTTACTTGATTTTGCAAAGTTTTTAAAGAAAATATCTTGAATAATCCATTTTATACATCTCCTCCAGTGTTGTTTGACATAGAGAAATCTCCTTCAAAATCAAGTATAGTCCCCATTGTTACATTCTATTCTGAAATCTCATTCCTCATTTCATTTTGCAAATTTATTAAGGAAATATCTTAAAGTTCCTTCGTTTTATTCTTCTCTCTTAGTCGACTTTGTTGAGAAGTTAACGCTATTTATTTTTATTATATATACACTCATGGGGAGAGAGAGAGAGAGAGACAAAACTTAAGGAAGTTATATGTTTTAGCATGTATATCGGGATTCAGACAAAATATCTGAAAGATATTTGATAACACAGTGATCTTTATTGAAGACACACGATATAACCAAGTGTGAACAACCTCTGTCTCTTTTTAAAAAAAACATACCTCAGGCGACATCAAATGCTATATATTTCCTTATGTTTTGTTGTTGTTGTTGTAGTGTCCAATGAAGAGCCTCAGATGTCTCCTTACATCTCTATCACAGCAGCGGCAATGTTAACTATCTTGGGTGTGTAAAGCTGCTGCTCTGGGTCTATTTTGCTCTTCATTGGAAAATGGGTGCCGTTGCCACGTTAGTCACCTTGGAAAGGAACCAGAATTTGGTCAAATATTCCAAGGGTCCAGGGGGGACCGCAGGGAGGTGTAGTCGGACTTCTCCCCCCCCCCCCCCCCCCCCTTATGTTTTGTCCATAAGTGTATAGAAGATGAATTTCTAAAATGGTTGGCTTGAAGATAAAGAAAAGATTAGAAAAGCTGGCTCTCATCAGTATGGTAAATCATCCAAGCGATTTCGCCAATTGTTACACTATACCCTTAGATGGTGACTAGACTGAAAAAATATCTTTCTTTACTCGATTAAAGGAGAAATTATCAATAAATTATCTTGAAGCCTCCCATTTTACACATCTTCTTGGTGTAAAACCATCGATGAATACTTAGCAAGCTCAAGTATACAATCGCTATAGTAGAGAATCTTCTGATAAACGCTAATTGTTGTAATTTAAAAAA